CTTAAATTAAACTACGATCACTACTAACAGCAGTAGAAATTTGTCCTTCTACACAGAGAAAATTCTGAAATTCCCATCTGAGTTTCATTTTTAAGTTTAAAATGTTTTTATTTTGCTCGAATCAAGTTGAATTGGCGGTATTTATGTACATTGTATATCTCAACAAATAAACTATTAGTTCAGTCCGTAGTGTATACTTAAAAGTTGTTAAATAAACTTAATTTAACTTTTCGCTTCTCATCCTTACGTTCTAATATTGAGAACATTGATACCAAAGTGTACTTACGAGGTTTTTAAGAACGAAAGTTCTCAATTCAAGAACAATATTCTTGGATATTTCTCTCTGCGAAATATTTTAAAATTTACTAAAGTAAAACAATGAAATTTTGGATTTTTGTTACATTGTGTGGATTTTTGTGACAAAATTGTATAATATTGTAAGATGTGTTCTTAGGATACCAAAACTTAGAAACTTACTTTTTAAAATCAATTTTAATATTAGGATGATGCATATAAATCTCCAAAATATTTAAAAAAGTATGCTACAGTAAATTTTTCATCAGAAAGTTTAAAAAATGCATAGAATAAAACTTTACACACTTAGTATCACTTCCCTTTGTATAGTTAGGTGTGTTTTAAATGTCCCAGAACTTAGAATATAGCATTTAAAACTTAGTTTTAAGTAGGAAAACGCATACAAATCTAGAAATAATTATAAAAGTATGGTAAGATACATTTTTGATCAAAAAGCTTAAAAATTTCATTTTCAAAAACGGAGTTTCACTTAGAACAGTATACCCTAATGAAATGTTGGTTGGTGTTACATATTGGGATGTTCCTGATATTCCACCCGTTCTAAGCCTTTTTAACTTTTTATGACCCATCCTGGTGGAATCGCAGTTACTGAGGTTCCACTGTGGAGTGGCGGGGAGCGTCAAGTGCTGGCGTTGGTGGACGACGCGGATTCTTAGCCGCCTAAGCCCTGAGCCGTAAGCCGCTTGCCGCGCGAGGCGAACGCGATTTTTAAGCCGCAGCTTAAAGTGGTGACAACAGCAACGGCAACAGCAATGGCAACTACGGCTACAACTTTTGGCTTTGGCTCCGCAGGAGAGTCGAGTTGCATTTTGTAAAACTCTTTAGTGTGATTAATGTGCCACACACTCGCACGTGCGTGTGTGCGTTTCCTTTTATGAGCTCTTTGGTTTACAAGCAGGTCGTGCTCCTTACACTTTTCCTTTTTCCCAGAACTCCTTCTCCTTGCCATGTTTTTTATACATTTTTTCTGCCAGTTCTTGCCTTTGTTGGGACAAACAAAAGCCCAGCCACCCACACACCTTCGTGCGCAGACATTTTCCGTTTGCACACGCTTTCACACACATGCAGCTGCACTGCCCTAATCCTTTTGACGTGGCTTTTATCGCACTTGCCTGCTTTTTCGCCTGCAGCCTCTGCCGAAAGGGTAGCAAAAAGGATTTTCGAGTTGTACAAACGGTCTTACCACATTTAAAACTTAAATGTGCACTTGTTTTGTGCGAATTTGCAGGCTACCGAATGGTTTCCAAAAATAGATTTGGCTTTTGGTCCTTTAGCTTTCAATTGAATATTTATTTTAAATAAAAAAATCATTCAATTTAAATGTTTCTAATATTTAATAATATTACATAAAACAAATGGAAATTTTAGATAGCGTTTTATAATTATTATTATTATTCTTTATTCATGTTGTGAGCGGTACAAGTCATCAAAAGTAGAAAAAAAAAATATCGTAATGCTCAAAAATAAATACTTTCCTTAAACTCAAAGTATCTTAGCCATAGCGAAATTATGTGATATTGCTTACCCAAAGATATCCTGTAAAAGTGTATCGGATATTCGATTCATCCCTTTTCGTTCCCTTTCCTTTTCCTTAAAGCTTTCCGTTTCATCCTCGGTTTAGCTCCTTTTTTACATATTTTGTGTGTGCTGGGTATCTCATTATGTGCTCGAGCTCCGTCTTGGGTTACATATTTTTCATAAGCATATGTACACATGTGCATAATAACTCCCCTCGCTCACACATATTGACTCTTCGGGGGCTTCATTTGCTCAAGTGTTTTTTTTTCGAAGCCCCTTGGGGGCGGTGGCTCTTGGCGCGCTGCACAGGAAACAGCTACAACAAATAGCAACAGGCAGACAGGATGTTGAAAAGGATTCCGCAGGGAAAAAAAATAAAGAAAAAAATCATAAACCTTTTGTGGGGCTTCGTGCCAAGTCATCTTGTGTCGTGTCAGTCATAAATTAAGTGAGTTTCTTACAGTTTTTTCACCACTTTTTTGTACATCTTCCCTGGATGTTGGGGCAGCTGCTTTTGTGCCACTTTCCAGCGCAAATTAATTAAGACATTTTCGATGAGATCAACTTAAATGCGAGACGGGGCCAAATACAAATTACGAGCGCTCCGCACGTGAAAAACTGTGTCATTGTGTGACATCAAAACCAACAAAAAGCCAACAGAAGCCGCAATAAAAACCAGAGAAAAATCCAGACACGTACGGGCCAGGAAACAAGACAGTTGCTGCAGCTTTTTAGCCACAGCTACAGATATTGCTGATGCTGGACCAATCCTCTCCAGCGCGCTAAGACGGCTCGGTGGCATCAATTTTTGTCCAGTAGCCGAGAAAATGTCACGTTTCCACATAAGTTACAAAGGCTTTCGGCCACGTTGAGCGTGAGAATTGGCAACTGGCAACTGGCAGTCGCTCTCCTTCGGTCCGTGTGTGTTTTCCTGCTCCAGGAAAAGGTACTTTCCATGGTGAAAATTAATTGCCGGCCGTGTAGCAGTCTCACTCTTTGTCTGGCAATTAATTGGAAAGCAAATCCCCTAAACAAAAGCGAGTCCAAAGGTGTACGCCTGACATTTCCACACACAGACACGCTAAGAAATCTCAAGAACTGTTAAAATTAATATGTAATATGAATACAACTCGTATTATAATTATTATTATTAGATTACAATTTTGTAGAAAAAAAACATTTAAATATTTAAATTTCCCAAAAATCTAAAAAATATATATAGATAATACCGAAAATGTCATAATATATTTAATATAATATAATATATATAATAAGATATATTTAAATAATAGGTACATACAAATCATTTAAAGGTCTGCTAAATTCATTTATTGGAATAAATTCAACAAAGAAAATATAAAACGTTGCCCCAAATTTGCATGTGTATTGAAAAGGGTTTACGAGGCCTTTTGTTCAATAATCTCGAAAAAGTCGTTCCGTTTTTTTTAGCGCTAAAAAATCAATTAAACGCCAGCATGCCTCAGCCTGGTGGTTAAAAAGATTTAATAACCTTTGCGGACCAACCAAAGTTGGGGGTTATTGTGTTATGACCCAATAATGATCGCAGATGCATTTAATTTGGACAGGAGGGCTAGCGGAACTCCCCCAGGGCTCGTTAAATGCTTTATGGCGGGCTCTTTACGGCCTAAACTGCTGTTGCTGCCTGGGTTTCCATGGCTACTGACTTCCAGCCACGCTCCAAACGCAATAGAAAAGCAATTAGAGATGGATGCTCTTCCGGGCGTAGGAGAACATGGTCGATTGGCAGGGAGAATCGGCTTCGGAACCACAGCAGGTGTGGTCACTTTGCTAATTGCCAACTAATTTAGCGGAGTGAGTTGCACACACTCGAAATCTATCCCTATTTTCCAAGGCTCATGCAAATGATTCAATATTACAGACAAACAGTGATGCCAAGTCAGCTTAAGAAAGTGTGCGAAGCCTTCTTCTTATTAACCAAAATTCAGATATGGAATTTAGTTGAGTCCCGTAAAATATGAGAGCAATTGGATTATAAAGCATTTAACCGGTACAAGACTCGGACATAATTTATTTATTTAGCTGAAGATTTGGAAAGCTAAATTTAGCTAGTTTCTGTAATGCATAGTTTGGCAGCATGGGCAGCACTGCCAGCTATCCGGTCAATACAACCTCCTGCTTCACGACGTCTCGTAATCAGCCGCATTTATGTTTGGCCATAAAATATGCAAATATCCTTTAAGTACTTTTAATGTCTTGCCATTTGTTGGTCCGCAGGCTGTTGGCCCATGGCCATGTCCTCCTCCGCCGAGTCCTCCTCCTCCTCAGCCACTCTTTTGTTAATGGCATGTTTGGCATTGTCGCACAGTCGTCTTGTCTATTCTATAGGATATATATGCACGTTCCCTCGGAGCTTGCATTTTCATTTTGTGCACTTTGCCATTTCTTCAGTTAAAGTCTTCTTCCTTACTTTATGGCCCTCATAAATAACACCATGTCGCTGTATCGGTTTCCCTATATATATGTACATATCCCTGTGTGAGAACTTGAAGAGCTGATCTGCGGACGCAGGAATATTTCAACTTCGAACCGAAAGGGGGAAATTTGTTGCCAACATTTCATTTACCTAATGTCCACTGGGTAGCAAAGGTGTGTGGGCATTTATTTTCCATCTTTGTGACAGCTCACTATATTTTCTATGTTTATTTTCTTATTATACTAATGGAAAGAAGCTCTAAAGCGATAGCTGCAATGTCTTTAGAAATCACAATTTTGATTTAGAAACTATCTATTGGAGTCTATAACTCTAAAGCAGCGGTCGGTAACCTTTAATTAAGCTCGATTTCTACTGCAACGTGTACAGTGTACAAGAGCGGTACGCACACCGATGAACCACTGGGTGCCAATTACTCACATAAAATGAATTTTGTTTATTTTAGTAAGTCTTCCATGGTCGGTAAAAGTCGATTTCTTCAAAATCATATTAATATTTTTTGCTTTACCCTTGCAGGGTATCAAATCGCATATTCTCCCTTTGAATTATGCTCGTTTTAATTTCTGTTGGGGGAATTGTGCATTTTTGCATATTTTGCGAGCTGCTTTTTTACATGCATTACTCCTTATCCTTACCGATGTGAGTGTCGCATAACACCGATTAATGTCCCCTCATTTTCTCTGATTTTCCGCAGGACAAAGGACTACGGTAAAGCAGCTTACCAGCTGGCAGCGCGAAGGCGTCAAAGAGATTCGAAAGGAGAAAAGCCAACTTGAAAAGGACTATTCGCACACTGTGGCCAGCGGAGGAGGAGGAAATCGAACCGAATGCAGTATCTCAACTACGCTCTGCAGACATCCACGCGACTGCTGACGTACCAGGGCCCGAACCAGGATCTCTATCCTGACCAGACAGGACTAGCCTCCGCCCACGAGGAGGACATCAAGCACGCCTGCTGCAGTCGCGGCGCCCAGCTGCTGAGGTTGCGCCACCGAGAGCTGGCCAAGCGACGAGCTCTCGAGGATCAGATTAACGCCAACCAGGAGGAGGAGACGGAGGAGGATCAGCAGCAGGATCAGGATCAGGAGCAGCTGCCGGAGAACTCGGACAGCGAGCAGGGAGCCGTAGGCGGGGAGCATCTGGAGCCGCAACCAGTCCAATGAAACTTACTCTCATTTAATGTGCAACTGGCGCGCAGCAAGCTGCTATCGTTCTTCAACCGCGACATGGCCGCCACCGATGGCCAGATCATATTGGCCGCCTCCCGATTCGGCGATGCCACGCCCGTCTATCTGCGCGACTTCTCCAAGCAGCCGCTGCCGGCGGTGGCCAAGATCCTCAAGGGCCAGCACCAGGCCCTGGGGGTGCCCACCCTGTCGGCCCCCTCTCTGCAGAGCACCGCCCTCTTCCTGAGCGCCGGCAAGAAGTACCAGATCCTGGCCCAGCCCATCAAGATCAAGGAGGGTCGCAAGCCCACCAACGTGGGCGCCAAGGTGCTCATCCCGGAGACCTACGGCGGCTACTTCGAGCTCCTCAGCGAGGACGGCCGCTCCACGCGCTGCATCGACTCCGTGCTGGAGCTCTCGCGGCGGCGCAACGCCCGCGTCCTGGTGCGGGAGACCTTCCGATGCCAGCAGATGAACCGGACCATCCACGCCGGAGAGCTGCTGACCACCATGAACGACAACGGGAAGTACCTGCAGTGCAGGAACATCAAGGACGAGATCATCAATCTGCCACTCGATACCAAAGCCAAGTTCTCGCCGATCGCCAGGGAGGACAGCATCAGCGGTGTGCACACCGTCAAGAATCTGCTGCTCAAGCGGATGCCAGTCATCGTGAGGTGGGTTTCTAATAAAATAAAATAAAATATTTTAAGGTTTAACATAATCATTTTTACACCTAACACAAGATAAAGATCAAATATTATAAAACCACCATAACTAATATATCCCGTTCTATCTGAGTCAAAAAAGTTCTTTAACTTGAAATGTAGTAAAGGTGCTAGAAAATCAAAGGGAGTTTAATTAAGTACTACGAATATATAGTAGTCCCATTTTAATTGTTTAGTATTAAGAAAATATTATATCTCTTAGATGCTAAATGCAATATAATAGTGCCGATGTTCTTCTTATTTTCCCAATAATATTTCGGTCGTTCCTATGGCAGCTTTAAGATATAATCGTCTATTTCGTCCTTATAATAACAGAGATGGCATGTTCAGATCAGATATTTTTATATTTATATTAATATTCCGATAGTTCCTTACCTGCACAGGAAAATAGTTACCCGATTCGGCTATAACGCCTAATGACTTAACGTCAAACTAGGTAGCTCACATACCAACTAAATAAAATTATCTCAATATCAATAAACTGAATGGATTTAGGTACTGGCCTTGAATTCTTATGATTACAACATATTAGGTATCATTCTTAACCACAAATTTGTATTTTCAATCCACAGACTTGTCCACGGCAGCGCGCCCAAGGGCCTGAAGCAGCCCTTCGTGCCCGAGCTGCGGCTCCTGGGCTGCGTGGAGATCGACAGGATCTTCGCACTGCCCCTGCAGAAGGACACGGACCTGGTGCCGGTGCCGCTGAACGCCAAGATCAAGCTGCAGCGGGCCAAGAACATGGAGCAGCTGGAGCACTTCATCGAGTACTCCCGATTCCTGGACAAGGCGCAGCGCCTGCTGGCCGACGCACGCGATCGCCTGCAGATCGTCGATCTCAAGCTGAGCGAGAAGGAGAAGAAGGACTCCAAGTTCAACAGTCGCAACGGGGGCAGGTTGCCGGTGGTGATGCTGCCGTCGGCTGCCGGAATGGCCAGCGGATTGGCGGAAAGTGGCTATGTGTTGCGCAAGAGTGCCAGTTGCGACTCTTGGTCGAAGCAGCAGCAGGCCCTCAGCAGCAGCGAGATTGCCGAGGAGTACAACGAGATCGATCACATATACGACTATGTGAGGGGCCTGACGCCCCTTTCGAAGGGCCTGGCCCGCTTCGAGCCCATCTGCGAGTCCCCCACTCTGCGGTCACACCACACGGACAGCGGCAGTGGCAACTACTGCAGCTTGATTAGGGCTCCGGCCCACCAGCAGGCCTCCACCTCCGGGAACAACAACAACTACAGCAGCCTGGAGTCCAACAAGCACAGCAGTAGCGGTGGTGGCCACCATCCCGGCCACCAGCAGCAGCACCACCACCACCACCATCACCTGGTTAATCACTACCATCACGGCCATATTCAGGAGGACATCAAGCCGGTGCCGCCGCCCATCGAAACGATTCCGGGCAAGAAGCCGGCGGAGAAGCGCCAGCGTCCCACTCTACCAAAGCTTTACATCAAGAATGCCCACAGTGCTGGGAGCAGCAGCAATGGCAACTCCACGGGCACCACCCACAGCACCAGTCACAGTCACAGCCATAGTCACAGTCACGCCCACAGTCACAGTCACACGCAGTCGCAGTCACAGTCGCAGCAGCCGCCGACTCCCAATGGGAACACGGCCAATGCGGTGGCCAATGCGGCGGCTGCTGCGGTGGCCGCTGCCCATCACGGTTCCCACGGATCACATCCGCATCCCCATCCGCATCCGCATGCCAGTGTGCATCCGCATCCGCATCCTCATCACGGCAAGGTGCTGACGCCCAACAACCATCTGCCGAGCAAGGAGGCCCTGGAGCCGCAGTCGCCGCTGTTTCACATCAGGTAAGGAGATCGGGGTCACCAGTTATTTGGTGTGACCCAAAATATGTTGGGTCCTTGCAAATTAAGTGAGCTTTAAACAGGGGTTGAATATTAAGGGAACATATTAAACATTTCAGAACTGCAGTAAAAGAGTTTTTTAATCTAATATAATATCGTTCTAGTATTTTGCTAACAAAATTGCAATATAAGTATTAAAAAATAAAATTAAAATTAAAATATAACCGTTAAAGGTAAACCATAATATGGGCTTTCAAATCATTAATGTCTAAATTACGTTAAAATATTTGTATATCACAAATGCAATAATAATATTTAAATGCAGACCTATAAAGACATGTTTTAAGGCTAACCTTTACTAATTCTAAAAACTTCTTACTCCTTGAAAAATTCTTAGGAATAAGGATCAAATTCCCTTAGGAAAAAGAGGAATAGGGAGCATAATGTATAGCTTGGTTAAAAGCTTTAATGGGTGAATAAGCACAACTAAAAGCCGAATGCCCTACATAGGTATTCTAAATACAACTCCGATTGTTTATTAACTTTCAGGTACAAGAGTCTCAGCAGCCTGCAGCTGACGCCGGACAACAACAATTGCTCCTCCGTGACGCCGCCGACGATCTCAGCCCACGGCAAGTCATCCGCAGCTGGCGGTGGATCGGGACCGGGAGCAACTGCGTCGGGAACCCCGGCCACGCCGGGCACTCCGCCGGATGTGGTGCTCAAGTGCGGCAGCATCCTGAACGTCCACGGCTACCTGTCCAGTCCGCATCCCCTGCCGCTGCCGCTGCCCCACAGCCGGAGCTCCAGCAGCAACAACCACCACAATCCGAGGGAGGGAACCCTGGACTCGTCCCGCAGCGGAGGCCGGACTTCGGGGGACTCGAACAAGCTGCCCGAGAAGAAGACGCGCCGCCTGTCTCGGCCCAGAAGTCTCTCCAACCTGGTCTGGGACCTGCGACCCTCGAAGGAGAAGTCGAAGAAAAAGCTCTACATCCATCACTTCGATCAGCGGCAGCAGGCGACGCTGTATCTGTAGGATGATTGCTTGGATGCATCTCCAGGATGACGACGAGGAAGTAGCAGCACGATGATGATGATGAAGATGATGAGGATGATTCGTTGCCAACTCGTTTCTAGCTGCCATCGACCCCCACAATACAGAAGAAATACAGAGAAATAAAACACAATAAAAGAAGAGCAACTACAACTTTTGGCACGCTGTGTGTGTTCCTGCAGGTGAGTTGAATAGCCATGCAAATCGTGCTGCGTTTTGATTGTTTTTCTGCTTATTAAATTCGTGCACCCAGCCAAACAAACTAAACAAACTAAACAAACATTTCAATCGGCCAACTAATGGTTCTTCCCACTCCAATCCATTTTACAGCTTTCACCATTTAGCCTGCAGCAGCAATTTTAATTAATATTGAATTGTGCCTTTCCCTGCTACGCCCAGAATTATGCTTTAAAACCAGATTCCAATGGAGTATTTGACGAGAATATTTCGACCGGATGGACCCCCGAAAAGAAAGGCTGCCAGCACACACACAACACACCCCACAACCCCCCACATACACAACACACACACACATCAAGTCTATAAAATTGTGATTTTAATTTTATGTTTAATTTAATAATTATTGCGAACCATTTTCAAATTGGACGAAAAGCCATTTACGCTATTCAGAAAAATTCACAAACGAACTTCAAAATCCACAAAACTAGTTTTCTATAAACGAGATACTTATATATTTAAAGAGTACTGTATTTAAACCGGATAGCAAAAGGCAAATGTAACTAATAGTAAGTCAATATTATCAAACAACCATATATCAATCATTTAGAGAATGTTATGCAACACTTAAAGTAGCTAAAATGAATTTATAAATTAATGCAATGAATTTCCTCCTCATAATTTAAATGTTGTGCAAACTGTTGATTGATGCAATTAAACCATAATCGAACAACTCTTGATTAGTAATTAGTTTGCTCAGAGCCAGATACTTCCCCCGAACCCCCCGAAAACCCCGGAATATTAATTTCCCCACGATCTGCTCGCAATCGCATTGTCTTAGTCGTTTAGTCTGTACATTTTAGTTGTATTTTCCAGCTTATATGGCCTATAAATAGGGAGTATATATATACTTACATATGTAAAACTAATATATAACTTGTATTTGTGTCTAAATAAATGTCTCAGAAAAATAAATGTATATGCAAAACAATCTCGATCGTTGAAAGTTGTCTTGATTCCTGATTGTGGGCGGCTAAACTATCCAATGAAAGCTTAACGGCCTGGAAATTGGCTCTATAATAACCTGATCTGGCCATAAACGATTGTCGGTAAGCAGGTGAAAAATTAGTGGGCACCAAACGGGGGAGATGGAATTTCTATCATTTATATATTGTGAGCAAACATTTTTAAGCGATCTACACAGGTATGACGAATTACCCATTTTCAGTACTTGAGGAACATGATTTTGGTTTTGGAATATATATTACAAAATTATTTAGCTCTGCTGAGTCATTATATATTAATATTCATTTAAAATAACACAACATCCCACGTGTTAGATTCTGATCAAAATAATGTGACTAGAATTTGAAATATTTTATTTAGCACAAGCCACTCTATTAAAATTATAGATTCCTGCCACGGAACCCCTATAATATTTGATGTGATCTCACATGTCTAAATACTCAGCTTTACTAGGCCGTAAAAGGTGCCAATACCAGCAAAAACAACAAACCGGCTCAGACCAAAATCGATGAAAATTGCGCAGTTTTTCTAAAAAAAACAAAAGGAAAACGCATAGCGAAAAAAATCAGTTTAAATAAATGAACACATGCCAAATGCTTCCTGGCCGCAGACAATGAGCCGAAACACCTGCTCATAGACACCTGTCCGCTTTTGGGCAAGGAATCGTATTAAATCTCCATTGGGGGGGGGGGGGGCTTTGCGGGATGGGTGAGGGAGCAATGCGGAACCGAGTCTTTATGAAGACGAAATTGCGTTAATGCTGGTAATTAGTTGCAATATCGAAAGGCTGCCACGCGAGTTCGCTGCTTGAATCTTTCGTAATGCCGCTTAAAAGCGGTATGCAAATACATTGTAAGTGCACGGTGAAAAATGATCAATATTACTAAACGTTAGATAGTTTTTATAGTTAATTCGATTTTAATTTATAATTACGTTTTCCTCATGAGAAATGTCAAATTGTTATTATTGACATAAATATTATGACCGATATTTGGCTAACTGAGCTTACCAACATTCATATTTATTTTTATTAGGGGTGTTCATATTAATATTAAAATAATATGGTAAACATTTTCTTCCTGCGTAAAATTGGAGCTGCAGCTGGGCTAGGAACTGGAGCTTTTCATCTGGAGCTGGGGGCAACGAATTGAATAACATGAAAAATGCGCTTGCATTGCGATATCATCACGTTTATGACGTTGGCACAATTAATCAGCCGCATGCAAGCGCTAAAAGGCAGAGGAGACTTCGGGGACCCTGAAGAATGGGGGTTCGGGAAGAGTCTACAGATCAGGGGGAACCATAAACGTTTCTCTGCTCATCAAATGTGCAATTTATAACCACCACAGACGCCCACGCCGAAGATCTTTGGAGCTGAGAGTGCGGCTTAGGCTCAAGTTCAGGCTCGAATTAACCCTATGTTGGCTTAAGATTTATTATTTAAACTATGTTTTAAAAATGTGACATAAGTAACATACCGCAAGGTAATAGTTATACAAATCAGAAAAACTTTATTATTTTTACAATTCAGTTAAATGGATTTTTTATCACTAAAATATTAAAGTTTGGTATATACCAATATAACTGATATTTAAATATTTATAAATGGGACTATTTTAATTACTGAATAAAGTTAAGTCCCTAGCTACAATTTGTATTTTTCATATTTTATAACATCAATTTAAATAATACATTTAAGGTTACTAACAAAAGAAACCCATTAGCGTATAGAAGGTTAAGGTTAAGGTGCGGGTTGGGAACCAAGAACCGAGATTGAGACTGAGTCCGGGGGACCTGCATGTTGCCTCGCCATTTGCTACAGTTATGGCACCAGGAAGACTGGACCTGCAGCTGCTCTATGCCCCTCTGCCCCACTATGCCCCTTGATATTCCACCCCCTCCGAAGAAAAGGCGATTTGTATCGGGATGTCTGTTTAAACTGTGTGTAAATCGCCCTAAACTACGCATCAGTTTCGGTTTCAATCTCGGACGGTTCCATCGGTTTCCCGCGGTTCTTAAGGCACTGCAAAAATCTACTGAAAGACCCAGGTATTACGTCAAAAGAAACATTTGGGAGTTACCTGACTAATTTGATTTGGGTAATGTGTCAAACTGGAAATCCCATGCATAATTGCAACAAACTCTAAATACTCTAAAAATTTTTAAACACTCAAAATACTACAATACATAAATATATTTTATTTGCTATTTATTGAAGGATAATTGGTCATGTTTGAATAGCAGCCATGAGGATATTGCATGCATTTAAGCATAATTTAGTCAAGAAAATTATTTTTTATAACGCTGTCCTCAGCTCTAAAACAAGCGACTACTATTAAATTCAGTGGATGTGTGGCCTAATAGCCAGAAGAATTTTCTGTCCGTGTTGCAGTATTTACTTGAGGAAGTGGCTGCGTTTAGCACGGCAGCTTTATCGCGATGGAAGCGATACGTGGCGATATAGCGGTAACAAATTGGCTTTTGCTTTGAAAATTCTGGCCCAGTTCGAAAACGCTTCCGCGACACAAACACACAATTAAAAGTTCTCGCAGCTCAATTACCAGGCTATCGATCAGGAAAGGGGGAGAAAGAGGTGGGAGAAAGGCAAAGAGGAGGAGGAGCTGAAAAATGCAAACTTCCCTTGCACTTACATAGCAAACTCGTAGATTTATAAAGACCTAGGGTCTTTGATCCATGTGATCTGCAATTACGCTCCGCTCGTCGGCTTGTTTATTTTGTTTTCTTTTTTCAGCTCCTCTGCAGCAATTGCGCAACTGCTGCAACAAATGCTGCAACTGCAACTGCTGCAACTGGCTCGATAATCATTCAAATTTACAAGAAAACAATCAAAAAACAAATTCCTAGAACACAAATCGACGAAACTCATTTCATTTCAATTAAAGTTGCACGTTGCGCGCAACAGAACGAACTGGAAGTTGGAATCGGAAAAGAAGGAGGGGGCTCGGGGATGCAACAGCTTGAGAAAAGTCCATAAAGAAAACGAGAAATGGAGCTAGAAGTTCGATGTTGGATCCAACTTTGAAGTGACCTGTAAAAGGTAATTTTAACAGAATATTTCAATTTTGAGCATTGTTCCTATGGGGTTTCCCCTTAAAGTACTAAATGTTTTTCAGAAAATGTGATTTTTAAAATACCTCATTTTCTAAGAACTAGTCAATTTTCAAAGGTTTAAAAAAACTTATAATATAATTATATAACTTATAGAAGAAATGCTCAAAAATGATATAATTTGGTCTTTTTTTGCGATATAAGACTGTATTTTTGTAAAATACACACCAGGACCACAATTATTTTAAGACCAGAGTCGTGTTTCATAAACATTTTACATTTTGGAACATAGTAGTTATGGGTAAGTCGAGTCCTAACACATAACTAAAAAAATATAAGATCAATAACAAATCAATTTAGTATAGACAACCAATTTTTTAGATAAATATATATATTTTTAAGATATGTATATTTTATAAGATTATATCTTTAAAAGAGAAGATAAGATCTTTAAGATAAGATCTTTAAAATTAGATATAATAACCTGCACACTTAGGTAAGCTTCTTATTGAGTTGCTTGTATGGAATTCATGACTGAATCATTAGTGGTCTAAGATCCTTTTCCACCTTTTAAGGGGTATCGGATCATGGGAGCGTGCAAGAATCAGGCGGGAGTAGCTGCAGAAGAATCAGCAGCCGCAGCAGAAGAATCAAAATCAGCAGCAGCGGCAGAGGCAGCGGCTGAAGCAGAGGCAGCGACGTTGAAAAATCCCAAAGAAAACAAATTTAAATAAGACAAACGTCAACCAATTACCGTCAATCGCATTTCCCGCAAGAACAACAACAGCAACTGGGGCCAGAAGGAGTCGCGCCAAAGCTGCAAAATTGCCAAACGGCCAATTGGGGGCGGTGGAAAAGGGAAGGGGCGGGGTGCGGAGGCGGCGGAAGAACAAGGCGCGCGCATGTGCAGTTACAATTGCGAACGGCGACTGCGTCACACGAAGAAAGGTCAAGGAACTCTGGAGACCATTTGAATAGGTCCTCTAGGTGAGCGGCTGGAGAGAGTGAGGTGAGAGAGGAAGTGAGAAAGGTATGCACTGATAAAAAACATAATATGATATGTCCTGGCATCAGATTTCTTGGTCCAAAACATGAAATTTATTCTGGTTTCTAGAATCAAAGGGACTTTTTTTCTAAGATAAAAATATTAATACAATTTCATATAAAGAGCTTAGGCTCATAGTTATAAATTTCTGTTTAATTTTCATGACTTCAGCTTGTTTTCTTTCTGTGTAATAGAACTGCTCTGCCTCAAACTAAAATTATATTTATTGCTTTAGAAAAACTTATGGATTTAGAAAACGTCAAACCATACAACATTATTTGGTAAATTATTTATGCAATGTATGTAAATAATATTTTCTCCTAAGCGATTCCAGTAACAGAAAAATATTCAGTCAACTTCATCTTAAGAGTTAAGAGAGTTCAAAGAATTAATTTTAATCAAATTTTCCTGACGTCAGCTTTTTCTTTCTGCTCTTCCTCTAAGAGACTAATATAGAAAACTTGAAACCATATAAAAGTATTTGGTAAATAATATTGGCTCCTTAGCGTCTCCAATAACATAAAAATATTAAGACAAATTCATCTTAAGAGTTGGGAGTTACATATAAGTTTTAATTTGAATCAAATTTTCCCGAAGTCACCTTGTTTTCTTTCTGTGTGATAGAACTGCTCTGCCTGGAAATCAAATCAAATACAAATCAAACAAACACAAAAATGGTGGACCGAGGTGGAGGGACGTTGAGAGACAAGCCATCGAACAAATTTCCATGCTCCGCTGTGAAATTCCACGATGGAATGGAACGACAACATTGACGACTCAAAGAAGTTTCCCTGCCAGCCTGGTTTTTCCTTACTTTTCTTATTTTTTTACCTTTTCGTTGGGTGAGC